TATTTTACAAGCTCTGTCAACTTTAAAAACATTTACTCAGTGCAACTTGGCCAAGTCAACCTTGTGAGCCAAAACATAAACTTTAAGTCTCAGTGTAGCTTAATAAAGTCTGCCAGTACATCTTGACTATGCAAATCTGCTATTACAACTGGTACATGGTATGTGTACATCTTAACAGATTGTTAGGCTAAAAAACAGTCCAACTAAAAACTACACAATGATATAATTATTTCTTAATATTTTAGCTCATGCTAGCCATATACAACGACTGCTTTTCAAGTATTTCAGCTTTTAATGAAGTCACTATTCTGCTTGAATCCTGAACACACTATACCAGTCCAACTTGAAGACTGTTAACTACGTTGGCTTGAAAATTAAAATGTTTTATTTACTTAAGCAACATATGACTTTTGTTCTGAACTTAACCCAACAATATCTGTGACATACATAATATATGCAAATAACCCGATAATCTTGTATTTTTGATAAAATTATAAGGTCAACAAACTAATTACATACAGTGTAACTAAAGTAAAGCAAAAACTTTCTAACATTAGATTAAATTTTCCTAGGAATTCCTGAAGTTAAATCACACCTTCTAATGCTACAGAAATTAAATCCTATAAGTTTTTAAATTTTCCAATAAATTAACTAAATACTTAAGTTTTCAAAAAGAAGGTAATTTTAAAAGCAAGAAAGATTCTTTTTTACAAAAGATCTACTTTCATAATGCATTACTAACTAAAACAAAAATTTTAAAAATATAGCATTTCTTCAGTACCATATAAGATACTGACAAGGCATATTACCTGTTCAAGTTGATCCAGAATTTTCTTTATATACTAGTTCACACTTTGCCCTTACTTAAGTTTACTTACTCACTGATGACAGTTTTTCTCACCATCGAAACAATGGTTACTGTATTAAAACAAGGGTGTACTTGAAGGAATCATACAGGTGTCTTACTTAACTATCCCATCTTGAGACTTTCATTTTTATACTTGGTAGCCACAGAAATGCTTTCTCATGTTTGATTTTCGACTGAAGATCTTCCCACAGAATTGACAACTGTACTTGCCCTTGTTCTGATGCTGGAAAAAGTGATGATTCTGTAATGTGTTGGGTGAGTTAAACAGTTTTTTACAGTCAGGACATTGGAATCTCAGCCCTAGAGGAGTTTGCACTTTCATCATTCTCCATCGATACCTTTGACCTAAAAACATTTTACAGGATAGATATATATATAATAGCTTAGAGTTATAATATTAGAAATATTCTCAAATTTCACCAACTATCACTACAGATAGTTTAGTTTTTTGCTTTTAAGCAGTACATATAAACTTGTTTCAATTTAAAAAAAAAATTGTATCAATGGTTTGCACAAGTGATAGACATTTTTTATTCCAGCCTTGATTTACTCTATCAAGCGATACACAAAACGTTATATCTGTAATAATTTACATATAACAACTGCAGGTCAAGAATATACACTCATTTTAACATACAATTTCAATAACCCATAGAGTTTCTACAAACCAAAAATACATTTAACACAACATACTGGCTCCTTTTTTATAAAATAAAGCAAAAGAGAAATGAGAGCTACAAAATAAAATATTCAGATTTTGAACAAAGTGCAAGTGACATAAAACAAGTGCAAAAGAAGTAAATAACTACAATAAACTTATAAAAAATGACTAAATCACTAACAATAAACTTATGAAAGATGACTAAATCACTAACAATAAACTTATGGAAAATAACTAAATCACTAACAATAAACTTATGAAAAATAACTAAATCACTAACAACAAACTTATGAAAAATAACTAAATCACTAACAATAAACTTATGAAAGATGACTAAATCACTAACAATAAACTTATGAAAGATGACTAAATCACTAACAATAAACTTATGGAAAATGACTAAATCACTAACAATAAACTTATGGAAAATGTTCATACATAAAATTAACACTATGAATTAGCTTATCAAATCATGGCACAGAATAACTTTAAGCTATACAGTAAATCTTTAAATTTATACTTGCAGATGGTACAAAGATTGCATTTAGACATCCTTCAGAAATTCCTACATGTAGAAGGAATAAGTGTGTAATCTGTTAGCCAACATACATAAGTTCAGATATGAGTAATCAAAGCAATGTACTGCTAACTCACTCAGAATTTGGATTATGTCAAAAGAACTAACTTATCTTAAACCAAATACATAGGAATAAAGAGTACTTACAAAGATAAGTATATTATTATTTCACAAAGTGTTCTGATTGTTTCAGTAGAACTTCCCAACTTAATCTATACCAAGGACACAGGAGTGAACAGTATTTACAAAGATAATTTTATTACTAATTCACACATAGTTCAGATTGTGTCAGTACAACTAACTTAATCTACACCAAGGACACAGGAGTGAAGAGTTCTTACAAGGATACATATATTACTAACTCACACAGAGTTTGGATTATGTTAACAGAACTACATAATTTAACCAACACTAAGAACAAATAAAATTAATGTGGAAGTCTGGCAGTTGCAGTATATAAATGTATAAACCTAGTCACTTCCATATGGGTTTACTGTGTTACTTACATGAGACAAATGTAATGTAAAAAGATTTGAGCTATGGAATAAATCATTACAACAATTACACAACATGCCAATAATACTTTAGGAAATCAATATCATAAAAAGTATTGAATATAATAAAAACAGTCATTTGGCCTTTATGAAATCAGTATGATAATGTAAACTTTAAAAGATACGGTAAGTCATCAAGACAAATGTGTATTGTGAAGTTCAATTTCTGTAAAATAAATGTAATTTAAAGTTCTAAACATAACAGCAAATCATTAAATCTAATGTGTAATGTGAAGTTCAACCTCTCTGAGATCAGTGTAATTGTGCAATTTTAAACTTAAGAGCATATCACTAAAACAGAAATGTGTTATGTAAAATCTACATAAGTTAGCAGATATGTGCAATTCTTTGAAAGAATTAAGCCATTAGTGAACAACAAAACAAAACAGTATTCTGTAGAAGAATTCTTTATAGCCACATAACTTCTAATAAAATTCAACATGGCCACAAAGAGAATTTTTTCTAAATTGCATAAATGTCCTTTGAATAGATGTTTACTGAATGGATAATTTCCTATCAGAAAAAAAAGAAAATACCGAGGTTTGAAAAGCTCAGAACAAGACACTTACCCTTTGTAAGAAAATACACAAACACAATCACAGCTTCTAATGCTACAGAAATTAAATCCTATATGAAGTTTTTAAATTTTCCAATCAATAAACTAAAAACTTAAATTCTGAAAAAGAAGATAACTTTAAAAGCAAGACATATTTTTTTTACAAAAGATGCACTTTTAAACACTCCCTAACATCTTGTTTTTTATATTTTCATATTCAGTAATCACAAAAGAAGCAATAGCTAGATGAAATCTTGCAATAATGAGTTTATTAAAAACCTTATCTTGTACATAAGAATATTGCCAATGTATTTCCACAATTATATAACTATATATCCAAAAATATTATTAGATTTATATAATTAAAAAGTTTAGTCATTCCTTCCAAAATATCTTGAAGGTACTACACATAAAATTGAAGAACACAACCTCACTCTAAACCAACACGCTGGAGTGTCAAGATACCTTTACTAAGTCGTTAGCAATCTGCAGCCATTTGACTTTTTGTTTCATACTATATACATATTACTGTCTCTAAGTTAACTTCTTGTATTTGATGTTGACAAAACCTTATCTAAACATTGTACATATGTTACTGTGTTAAGCTTGTAATAAAGTTTTCTTCTATACTCATTCAACCTTCTAAATCTTAATGCCAGACAATCTCGGGATTCGAGCATACCATTTTACTGAATCACTTACATGTCTGTAGATTTAAAGTGAACCAATATTAACATTAGGTACACAAGCAGAGAATCAATTCAGATTTCATTGACTACTATTATCTATTCAGAATGTTGAAAAGGTATTTCTTAAAGCATAAGCAAAATGGCATAAATTGTGTAATATTAAATTCAACACTTTTCAGTATTAAAAGGGAAGAAAGGAAAATTAACAGAGGAAACTATTCTCAGATTAGTTTAATTGTTAGAGTAATCAAAATAAAGGTATGTGAAACTGAATTATTCTGTTTCTTTTGTGATGAAATGTTAACTTCAGTGTGTCTTGATGAGGGCTCAACTCTCAAAATGATGACAGTTTTGCAAGTGCACTGTCAAACTTCAAGACAAACAATATGTAAATTTATACTTATTTGTTTGTTTATGAATTTCATACAAAGCTACATGAGGGCTATCTGCACTAGCCATCCCTAATTTAGCAGTTTAAGACTAGAGGGAAGGCAGCTAGTCATCACCACCCACCACCAACTCTTGGGCTACTCTTTTACCAATGAATAGTGGGATTGACCATCACATATAATGCCTCCATGGATGAAAGGGCGAGCATGTTTGGTGGGATGGGGAATCGAACCCGCAACCTGCAGATTGTGAGTCAAGCTCCCTAACCACCTGGCCAAATTTATACTTAAAACACTATAAAGCAAAAATGACACCATCACAAAGATCCATATTTTGTAGACTGGACTGTTTGATAAAACATATTCTGATTTAGTTTTGTTCATAGTTTTAAAGTCGTTTATCTTTTTGGACTTAATAACTTGAAACCTGATTTTTTGTAAAGAAATGTGCTATATATGTTATTTTGAATAACACCAGAAAGTAGCATTCGACAGACAACAAATAAAGCATTAATGATGCTAGTGTACCCCACTTTCTCTGTGCTCCCCCCACCTTTAGAATAGCCTTGTGCACATATATATTCTGGAGTTTGTTTATTTAGTCATAGCATTTTAAAATTTCAAGATTTTACCAATATGAATGATGATAAAACTTTTAAAAGAATTTCATGCAGTTTAATGAACAAAAAAGTGTATTTAACAGCTGTTTTGACAATAACCAAAAGTATGTATTTATTTCATAGTTTCCATGACAAGGGATACATGTAAAACGAACAAAATATTAATAAATGGTCACAATATCCTATACAGATGACAACCATTTAGAATAAAAGCAGAAATACATCTTTTCTGAATATGAAGAGTACAATCTGACTAACACGTCACATTTCATGCTTTTACTACAAAATTCACAATTGTTATATACATGGGGCCAGGGGGGGGTCACTTGACCCCCCTGGATTTTCAAAAAGAAAAAAATTACTAGATAGGTAAAATTATTTTTCTACATTATTGGAAAATCATAAGGTATTTGTATTTCGATTTCATAATCTTTTCAAACTTGAGGTACTTGACCCCCCCCCCCCCTAATTTTTTTCTGCGGGCACCCTTGGTTATATAATTTTAGATGTAAAGCAAATTACTCAAGCAGAGGTTTTCTGTGATACTTAACTTTTGTGAATTCAATGTACAGTTTTTAAGCATTAAGCAAGTTAATAAAACAGAAGTGTCATATGATGGTTAATCCTTGTGAAATTAAAGTAATGTACAGTCATTAAATGCTAGGCACGTTGTTAAACAAGAGAGTACTGTGATGTTTATCCTTTGTGAAATAATTGTGTGTATTTTACAATTTTAAACCAACATTTATAACTTTATTCATATTTCAGCTCTTTTCAAAATATTTTAAAATGGCAGCTAAAAATTCTGTTTATTCACACACATTAAAAGTGTTATTATAGAGCAATGCAATAACTAATACTTGCTGTTTTCAAAACATTAAACTTAAAAGTTTGTGAAATTCCAAGTTAAGACCATATTCGTAAGTTTCCATTGATAACAAAATGTTACAAAGATCCAAAAACGAAAAGTATGAAAATCAATAAATGTTAAGTTTGATAACTTATTCAGACAACACATGTAAGAGGACTGAGTATATTAGAATGATTTTGAATATTAAAATAAGCAAGTAATGTGGCAACCACAGTCGATATAAAGTTGCAATGGAATTACATGTATCAGAAATACATTTTCACAGTGATTGCATTTTTTAAGTACTTCTGATACCACTAAAAATTGATTGCTTTTGGGAAGGATATGTAATAGCCCTTTCCAAAGCAAAATATTAATACACTCAGATCACAAAGATGTGTTCAGATTGAGGATTAATAATTTCCAAGAAGTTGCCTTTGTAATTAATGGCAGTAGAAAACAAAAGAATATGGATCAACTTGGGACACCTGGACTATCTAGAATGAGACATGCAATAAGTTGTAATCCAACTATAGTAAGCAATGTGTGGCATTTTATAACATCTGAGAATCCAGGAAACACAAAAGACAGAGGCAAAAGCCATTCATGTGTTCCAGGAAACATAAATAATAAAGATCTCTTTCTGAAACATAACAAAAATTGGGTGTACAGAAGTTGCTTCTGCAACATATTTGTTCAACTGTTGTACATCTCAAGCAGCTGGAGAATTAAATGGGTGTTCATGCTATTCCATATGAAAATATATCTGTGGACCTTTATGATGCAGTGCCTATGGATTTCTGCATGATCAAATTGTTGAAACTGGTGCAAGGAAACCATCATCCACCTACCCTAGATAGATTATGAAAAGCATTAGGGTGGAGAGGTGTGCTTGGAACATGACAGTCTATGATGGAACCTTTTGCAATGGAACTATGCTGGAAGGGTATTATGAATATGCATGGTTGTCAGACAGGGTATGACCAGATGTGACAACACAGGCTAACAACATAATTTTAATATAACATACTCAACCTCTGTAGCTACCAGAATCATAACTTTAGTTAGTTAATCAATTTTGTAATTATAAGATCTATTTCATGGCCTCATCATCATATAAACATGGGTTAGAAAAATGAATCTGACAAATTTAGGGCTAAGAAAAAATCAAAGATGTAATGCACATAAGTTGAACATAAACTTTTTCTGTGGAAATTCATGTTATGTATTTAAAACACTGACAATAAGGTAAAATATTTTAGACCTAACATAACTAAAGAAATAAGTCATCCAAATTTCCCTTTTATAAATTTAAAATATTTTACAGTGTTTAAGTGATAATCAATATTACTGAGTGAAAATACAATAAAGTTCTGTAAACATCACAACTTTCAGACCATAAACACTTTATAAACACATGTATATACAAGTTTTCATGTGTCTCTTCAATTCGAAAAGCTTTCTGAAAGCTTTTTGGCATCCAGCACATTTATGTTTTCTCACAGCTCTGTGCATGTAATACAAGTGGACCCTCAAGGAGTTAGTGTTGCGAAAGAAGTTTCCACATAGGCTACACACATTGTCTGTTAGTTGTTGTGTGATTTTCCCACTTGATGTCGCACTCCAGTCTTCATGGAGAGGTTGGAAGGCATAACCTGTGGAGGAATTGGATCTTTCAGTAAAACGTAAATTATTTATTTAGACAACTAATATGATTTACTTTTGTTCACTCTTCTAGACTTCACATTTGCCTTATGTGTGTGTGTGTATATATATATATCAATAACAACAACATATATTTCAATATAAAACACTTGATATATATTTTAATAAAAGTTGTTTTACAAGAAAATATATATAGCTTAAATATAGCATAAATTGCTGGAATAAAAAAAGTACACAGTGTACAGATTTAAGTTCAAAGCAAACAAACTTTGGAAATAAAAAATATAGCACTAACAATCAGACTGCTGAATTTATAGTTTTTGAGATTTAAAAACTATGAGCCGATTTCTAACATAAATACAATGGCAAAGAAGTATGAACAGAATTTCAACTAAAACATTTGATACTTCTGATTTCACCTACAACATTTGAGATGTATAGATGGTTGAAATTACAATATCCAACTTGTGTTTTCATATTGTTGCTCAATTTAGAAATTTACAAATAAGTTTATGTCTTTTCAAATCAAAAGACTTCTTGAAAGCTCTCTGACAACCACCACAAACATGTTTTTTCAAAGCTTTGTGCATATAGTTGCGATGAACCCTCAGTGAGTTCTTGGTTCGAAAAAAGTTGCCACATAAGTTACACAAGAGCTCTTCTGCTTCAGCTGGTAATCCACAACTGCCTTTACTTGTCCATTCGTTATCATGTAGTTGAACAATGAAAGCTGTGGAGGAAATACCCATCTATAATTAATTCAGGTTTTACAAACAGTTTTGGTTCCATTGCTAACAATTACTCATTTTTCAACAGAAGATTCTAAAATTTCATAAATAACTAATTCATGCTATATATATATATATGTGCGAAAGTTAATTGGGAATCACATGCCTTTCATAATTACAGCCTTCTATATTTGAGCAATTGAATATCACACAAATAAATTAATTAGTTTACTTGAGGAAAAACTCAAGTGATTTTTGTTGCTTTTTTAACACAGATTTTAATAACATTATTTTAAATTTTGAAAACACAATATCTACTTGGATATTCATAGCATATCGAATAAATGTAATTGAGAAGCAAACAACATAAATTTTAGTAACAATAAATATTAAAACATTTATCACCAAACTTTAAATAAGAATATAACAGTAAAATGTTAAAGATTTTTAAGACTTTTCTTTTAAAAACTACATATGTATATGATATATTAGACCAAGCATTACACAAAGAAAGAAAGAGAAGCTTATTTTATAATTTACAGGTCTGTCTAAATACATAAATCATCTTATGCATCTTTATAACTTTTCTTAAGTCTCAGCTAATATACATAAAGTTAAATTTGCAGGTTATTTCTCTCAGTTAAGTGTGTTAAGATCTGCAACTGATACAAGTTCTTATACACTTTTATATATTAATTTATGCCTTTTTTTTTTCTTCTTCCAAAGCCAAAATTTGTGTGAATTCTCTCTGCCAGTTACTGCATGCTTCTACCCAGTCTGGTATATGAAGTTAACAAGGTTCCTTAGAAAAGCTCTGCTTTTATAACTCACTTATTCAATCATGTGCATGTAGTTAACAAGGTTCCTTAAGAACCTCTGCTTCTATAACTCACTTCTTCAGTCTTGTGCATGTAGTTAAGAAAGTTGCTCAGGATACTCTGCTTCTATAACTCACTTCTTTGGTCTTGTGCATGCAGTTAACAAAGTTCCTTAGAAAAACTCTAGTTCTACAACTCGCTTCTCCAGTCATGTGCATGTATTTAACAAAGTTCCTTCGGAAAACTCTGCTTCTATAACACTTCTTCTGTCATGTGCATGTAGCTAATAAAATTCCTTTGAAAATCTCTGCTTCCAATACTTGATTCTTTACAGTTTTGGGCATGTTAGTTAACAAGTTTTTTTGGGAAATCTTTCCTTTTATCTTGCCTCATGAGCCATCTTGTAAATCAGTAACATCAAAAAGAGAATTGAGACTATACAATTGTGTCTAAATTCCAATAGCTAGTCAGATGAGGTAATCTGTAAAGAAAGGGTTTAAACTTAAAATTGTTTAATAGAAGCAGTTAGAATTATCTTTCACAGTTTCATTTATTTTTTTAGGATAATGTAGTTATGGCTATTTTTCAATTTTGAATTTAATTTAATTCAGTTAATCAATATGCATTTATCTTATAGTGTAATATGGTGTTTAGTTTAAGTTATTTTTGGTGAGATTTAGAATGAATAAGCCCATACAAGTTTCTTAATATTTGGTATGATAAAATGGTTTTATTATTTTACATTTTAGCCAATTTCTGAAGAAGTCTGTATGACTTACCCTAGAAATGTCTTTTCTGAAATATAGCATGGTCTATCTAATACATGTTTTAAAAAAATACTTGATCATGATAAATGTGCTACTTTAGTCTACTAAACCTAATTGTATTCTCTATGTTTTTGGTAAGCTCATTCTGTGTAGCTAGGAAAACTGAAAACCCACATGTACAAGCATTTAATTATGTTGGATACTTAACAGGTTGGAATTAATAAACTAACTAAAGGTGACAGCTTGGCTGTGTTTTTAGATAAATTTATCCTCTATTCAAAATTTGAATTGTAATCTCATAAACATTTTACCATAAATCAAAACATACAATTTTTGTTCATCTTAGAAAACAGAGGCATAATTCTATAGGATTAAAAAGTATTATAAAGTATATATTACAATGAATACTACTTACAAAGCAACATCATATAAAAATACTGCAAAACAATCAATACTGATAAACCAGTTTCGCATATAATAGCATATGGTATTTTGTCACATTCAATTAAAATACAGTACATAAAAAATACATAACAAACTAACTATAGTAACTTCTTGTTGAACTAAATTTAAGTTTCAGTCTATGGTAACAACACTTCAATCCCAGTATCAGTAATTATATAGAACATGTTCATGATACTTTCTTAATCTAACAGGCATGGATGTTATGTGGGACTTTGATGGGCATTCTTAAATTACGTATCACACCTATCAAGTAGCGACAAAATAATGCTCTGTCTGGATATAAATACATTTCAAATAAAGCAAAAAAATCAACATGCATTCAAAAAAGTAAACTTTTTATTCACACAAAGATGCCATTGTTAACATATGAAACACAGTTATATAGTTATATATTTATATAGTATTATTAAACATTATAAAACTGAGCATAACACTGACCTAGGAAAGTAATGATGCAATGTATCATTAAACATTAGTAAACTGTGTACAGTGTTCACATATGAAACACAAATATGATGCAATATGTCATTAACCATTATTAAGCTTAGTGTAATGTTGACTTGTGAAACAATTTTAATGCAGTGTTTCATTAAACATTAGTAAACTGTGTATAATGTTCACATATGAAACATTTATGATGCAACACGTCATTAAACATTAGTACACTATGTATTATATTAACATATGAAACACAATTATTATGCAAAAGTGTGCAAGTCTGTATGTTATAAACTTCCAATACAAGTATGTAATGCTTGTAGTTCAGAGCAGGACATTTTTTAGCTTTTAGTACTGTCAAAGTACATGTATATATAATGACTTTTTAAATGCTTCTTAGAAGTTATGGAATTTCATCATCCATTTAACATTTTAATAAATTATTTTAATGTACAAATGTTTGGCCACAGGTCTACTCTAAGTGGAAGAAATTTCCAATTTTCAAAATTGATAGCCATATATTTCAATGCTTTGTATGCACTCTTAGAACTTTTATTTTTTTGTTGTTTACATTTAGATCATTATCAAATGTATTATTTTATGGGGCCTTATGAAACAGGACTATCTTAAATGCTACATAATTTTAAAACAAAGAAAAGTTCAGTATGAAAAGGATAAAGACTAACATGTTTTGGGTTAAAAAGGATCTTGAATACACAAAAAAAGAATTTACATACCAAACTCTGACAATGAACTGACTACAAAGGTTATAGTCGACATTCTGATAATATTGAAATTTGGATGTATGTAAAAGCAAATCTACTCAGTGTCTTAAGTGCAACAGATCATAAATTTTCATTTACAATAAATAAAAATGAAAGATTAGCAAGTTAGCAATTAAGTTTTCTTAACAAATTTTGTAAGAAAAGTGTGAGACAAAAGAATATTATTTTAAATATTGACAGTG